GTCCGGCTGCCATCCCCGAGGAGCCGCTCCAGAGACCGTGAGTGACCCGCGCCCGGGGGCTGGGGGGGGCTCCCGAAGCGCTTGGGTGACATCCTCCCCTGCCCCGGGGGGGCCGCCCCGCCGGGCCGCCGCTGACAGCCGGAGAGGCGGCCGGCAGTCCCCGGGGGAACCAGTCCCGGGCTGCTTCCCGGTCCCTGGCAGGAGGCTGTTCCGGGGCCGTGCCTAGCAGTGCCGCCTGCTCTCTGGTTAAGTTTAAGGGAGCAGTAACTTTCCGGGCAGGCACGGGTAGGGAACGGGAGGTACTAGAGCGCTGCCTGGGTTCCACGGGCTGGTTCGAGGCAGGAAATCCATATTTTCAGCTAATCCACTGCTGGGAGAAACGCAAACACCCCTGAGCATCACTTAAAGCGCTGAGCCTCGTAAAGTCTGAGCTCTGGTGCGTCTGAGAGGAGTTGGTGTGGATGTCTGTTTAGGACAAGCTGCATTTAAACTCTCGTGCTGTGGGTTGCTGTGCAGAGACCCAAGGGAAATTCCTTTAAATGTCTCTGGGGGTATTTAAAAAATGAGTAGATGTGGCACTTAGGGACATGGTTTAGTGGGCACGGTGGTGTTGGGTTTATGGTTGGAGTTGATGATCTTAGAGGCCTTTTCTAACCTTAATGATTCTGTGATTCTCTTTTAGCCCTAAATGCCTTACAGCTGTTGGATATTTGGGGTTCTCGGGGCATTAGTGGAGGACAGGCCCGAGGAGCTGTTCAGTGCCACAGTGCTGCCCCTCACGTTTCCATCTTCTAAAAATAACTTTTATTGAGCAGGTGAAAAGACACTAAGATTTTCACAGGTTAAATACATGAGTCACACTGTTGGTTTTTTTCTCCAGCTACTGGGGAGACAGGAGAAGCAGAAGGGTTGAGGAGCAGGTAACTTCTAAATTGGCAGCTTCACCACGTTTTGGCGGAGGATGCCAAGCAGTGAAGCTGGGCTCTAGGCCACCTGCTCCCACAGTACGTTCTGATAGGGATGCCAACTAAATTATCCTGGTTGATACTGTTTCGAGAGTGTTGTCTCAAACAATCTCAATGCATTTTCGCACTCTTGGGGCATAATAGGTGAAAAAATTAATCTTCTTCATGAGCAGCTTGTTTTTAGATGCCTTACTGGTCTGCAGGGACTAATTGCACTGTTAGGTGCATTTTTTGTGCTAGTGCCTTGTGTGACGTGGAGGATAGATGGCCATCTATTTCTAGTCTTTCCCATATGTAGTTGAAAAAAATCTGTCTAAAAAGTTACTGATGAGATAAATCATGATATTTCAAGAGAAAGACCTGAAAATTATTTGTGATGCTTGCTGAGGGATGTTATGCTTGCTTTGGGATTTTGAATTTAGGCCTACTCTACTCCAAACACTAAAAAAATAGGGTTGTAATTGTCCTTGTTGACTTTGCTTTGTGTTTAAAAATAGGCTGTATGTTTTCAGAAAGCTGATGGTATTGCATGTGCCCAGGAGCGATACAAATTCAATAACAGCACTAAGCTTCATAAAAGCCTATAAAAGGATATTGTGGCAGTCTTTGCTTCAGTTTCCTAAACTTCTAGAGAAATATGAGGTGGCATCTTGGGTGCAATTCACAATACTGTCTGCATTTAGTTTTTTTCTTGTAGTGGACTGGAAAGGAAAATTCCACTGTGTTCTCCCTGTGTTTGGGAGAGGTGTTCATCTTCATTGTGGTTCTGTACAAGCAGCACTTAAATGTTTTGTAGTCCTGCATGGTAACCTCCTCTGTACTGTTTTAAAAGGATGCAAGCTTACCTGCCAGTAATGCGAGAATAAATGAACTGGTGAATGTCATAGCATAAATGCTACTGGTTTGCTCTTTAATTGTTTCATTAGATATCTCTTTGACATTGTCCATTAGGTCAAAGTTGTCCTGTTGCCTAAATTAGATGAGTGAGGAGCTGTCGTTCCTCAACTTGCACAGTAATCTCATCGTCACAGGTGATATTGGACATTTTTTGTTAGACTTTTTTGCAACAGTAAAAATAAAACTAACTATTCACCTCTACTTTTTTCTCCCCAAATAAGCTACCTTCGTTTACAATAACACAATGATACCTCTACATGATTAAAAATAGTAATAATAAAAAAAAATCTTTCCTGTTGGAGTAGGCAAAACTTGCCTTTTACATATTTTTGGTAGAAACTGAGCATTCTTTATCAGGTTAGTGAATGAGCCCTACTAAGCTGTCTGTCTCCTGCTATGAAATGTTTTAAGATCACAGAGGTTGGGATAGGGGAGACTTAATTATTTGCACAACATGTATTTGAAGTTTTTCTTCACTTTATTGTAAGACAATGACTTCTGAACTCTCGATAAAACTGATATCCTGGCTTTACTTTTTTAATTAAAATATTAATTGAATTCAAGCTTTTACCAAGAAGGTAAGAGCTTTTAATGTTTTGAATGATTTTAATCAGCAATAATCATGTGTTCTGCTTTTATTATGCATTACAGTCAGATGTCAGTTTCTGGCCCACTCTCTTATCTCTTGCTGGGTTTTTGTTTGGTTTTTTTTTCTTCTGTGAAAACCTACATTGAGCTCTCTGTCATCATATTGCTTCTGTAAGCTTCTGGTGAGCCACCTTATTTTCTTCCATATCTATTTTTAGCTTTTTCAGACCCTTAACATTTTGGTTGGAGTTGAGTGTTTTGTTTTGGATTACAAAGCTCCCACTAACTTAAAATTTGATTAGTATGATGTAAAAATTCAGAGTTTATTAGTGAAACTAAAAAGCAGACAGGCTATCACATGATATTCTATATTTTAGGTTTTATTCATTTTTACTTCTTATCAGTGAGCTGAGAGAATGGCTTTCTAATGTTTCTTCTGGAAAAATACTTAGCTTTGATTTGACTAATCCAAAGGTGGATTCTTCACCTTTTCTCTTGTCAATTTGTTCTAATAGTTAACTTTTGTAATTGCTTTTAATTATGTCTTATTTTGGTTTTTTTTTCCTTACATTTGATTCTAACAAATCAGTTTCCTTTACAGCAAAAGGTGCTGCAAGAGCCAAAGTGCTCTCCAGCGATATTTTTTTTTCTATACTAATGAATTTTTGGGCATTTTTTTGTTTGAAGCTGTGGTCTCAGATTGGTTTAATCGGTGCTGTATGTACAGGTATCGTGAATTTATTGCTTAGCTGAAGACCACATGAACTCGTGGTTCCTAGATGGTTTTTTGGTGTTACCATTTCTAGGGTGTGTTGTAGACCTCGTCTAGTTAATTTAACTCTCCATCATTGTCTGTGTTACTACACGTTGTTTGAAGTGTCCACCGTGTTTGGCCTTAGTTTATTTCTTGCTTCGCTCATGTTTCAGCACGTTATTAATAGAATCTTTTTTGAGTTTCCCATTACTTTTCTCAAGATTAATGTCAAGCCGTTTGGCTCGGCCCTTTTTCTTGATGCTGGTTCAGCTTTCGAGGTTCTGTACTCTTTTCACATATCCTTAATTCCAAGGCCTAAGAAAAATTAGCATCACTGAGCTGTGTCTCTTTGTAGCCAGCTCATCAGGACTCTAGAGTGCAAAATTATCTGGCTTGCTGGTTTTCTTATATTGTTTATTAATCTTCCTGGCTGGAGACTGTAGAAGCATGCAGAAGATTTAACTCCTCTGCACATGAGATTAAGCTTTCCTGTAGGTAACTGCTGCTTCCAGTATCTCCTGCCTTCTGTTATTCAGCAAGCTGAAGTGACCTTACACTTGGGGCTTGCTGCTGCAGCTCTCTCTAAGAAATGTGTGATGCTGTTGTTTTCCTCCTGGGTATGCTCATCAGCAGTTTCCTGAGGACTTCATCATACTTCTGAATAGAGCTGCTTTTTTTTATTTATTAATAAAAAAAATGATGTGTGCTGTCTCTAGCTACTGTTCAGTTATCCTTCTCTCTCTGTAGGCACAGAAAATGTGTGTGTGCATACGATCTACTTTAAGTGTTTGTCTTCCACCTTTTTTTTTTCTTCAAAGGCTGATTTTAAGGAAGTTGAATAACCAAATGTCAGATGAAAGATGTGGTACAGCACACTCAGTTGAATGTTTGTTCTTCTTTCCCTTTGGATAGTAATTGATAATGTCTTCACCTCTAGTTTCTGTTAGTTTAAATGGTAATTTGTTACTTATATGCATGGCTTCTAAGTTTTCACATTATTTTTTCTCAATCAGTCCTTTTTTAATTCTTTAAGTTACTTATTTCAGTGAGGTGGTAGGTTCAGTGTTAGGTGAGCTCTCTTCTTTACAGGAATCTGCCAAAGACATTGATCTGTACTAGTCTGAGTAGCATTAAACACTCTTGCCTGCCTTGCTCGGGGCTGTGTTGTGTGTCAATAATAAAGAACTTTATTCTGAAAGCAGTGTCATTCGGCAATATTGTTAATGTGTTTTGTATCTGAAGTAGTGAGCTTATGGGCAAGTTCAGATGTGCCTGTTCTGTTCTTGCCCTGATTGTGTGCTGGAAATGGTGCTCGTAAGAGATGTGGGCAGTGCTAGGTAAAATGGTCATAAAAGTTGAAATTATTTGTTCATGTTTTTAGGTGTCACTTCACATCAGCAGTGCTTAAGTTGTGGAATCGGTTGGACATTTTAGGAGGTACTTGCTGTCTTGTTAGTGGTGATCTGAAAGTGCTGTTAAAGACTACGTGGTGCTTTTTGAAGACGGAGAAAAAGGCATTATATAGCCTGGTCCAGTTCAGACTGGCTGCTCATATTCTGCCAGTGGCTTAAGAACACAAGCCAAAGAGGAAATCCTCTTTGAGGAATGCTGCTGCTTACCTAAACAAAATGCTACCAAATTATAGTGGAAAATATTGTTTTGTTCAGAACTTAAACTTTTAAAAAAGAAAAGTATTTCTAGGGTCAGATCAGAGGATCCTTGGGAGAAAAACTGAAATCTTGGGAGCAAACACTTTCTCAACTCCCCACTTCCAACCTGATGGAAGAAAAATGACAGGGGTACTTGCAAAGAATTAATTTTTTGGAAACTGTACTATTATTTGAGCTAAAGCTCTTAAGTATTACAGATTAATTCTTTAAAATTTTTGTCTAACAATGTGTTTTGAGTTAGCTTAACTGAATGTGCTTATTGACCACTTGCTGTTGGCCCTTAATGTTAATGCATTAACTATATTAATGTAACTCAAGGCTGTTCACATCATTTTCCAACTTCTAGTTCAGAAACACTGTTTTGCTATTTGATGGTCTTGCTTTTTTTTTTTTTTTTTTTTTTTCCCCCAAGACAGAAAGTTAAATGCTAAAAATACAGATGATCAATTTTCACTTGGAAAACCAAAGGGAAGGTTCTCTGTGAATGTGAGTGAAGGTGCGGGTACCTCCTTAACAGACCCAGCAGAGGCACCTTTGGGTGTGCAGTTTAGTTCCAGTTTTGCAGCTAGTTAATTATTTGAAAGTAACATCTGCCTTAACAGAAGTGATTCTGTGTCAGTAAAGAGTAGGAGGCACTGCATGCAATGAAATAAAACTTCATAGCCATAGTTGTGAATCTCTCTTCAGTCTCCTTTTTTCTATCCCTTTGTTGGGAGTGGAGCAGGGAAGAAGCTTCTGTTCCAGGGTCAGCCATAAAGGGTTGTAGGAGCTTATGTCATATTGAAGTGAATGTAAAACAAACTTTGCAGAATAGAAGCTTTTCATATTGCGTTCTATATTGTTTACAGAATAGCATTCTTTGATTCTGTGAATTTTATTCTCTTCATTTTACACTTATTTGCTGTGAGTTGACTAAATTTGGCCTTTCCTGGACTATGCCAAGTGTTACTATAGGGGTATTACCTTGATGGGCATAGATTGTGCATAGAGCTTTGATAGTTTTATAATTACAAAACCATTTGGAAGAATGTGGCATATGATAGGATTGCCTTGACATCCTTTCCAGTTCAGATATGAAACGGTCCATTTAGTAGAACTCTTAAGTTTCAAGAACTTGACAGACAAAAAAAGTCTAAGGTGATGTGTGAGAGGGAGCCCTTTTTAAAAGTGATATTTTTAGCTCTGTTCTTGTGGCTTATTTTTCCCCAACCTTTTTCTCTCTATCGGTTTCTTTATTTCAGCTTTGTTCTAGGTGTGTTCCACTTCTTCCTTCCTTTCCCTTTACGCCTTTTCATTCTTCAGTTTTGTTTCCCAGATATTTTCTCAATGAAAGTTAATGGCATTAATATGATCTTCCCTGTTAAGTGGTTCATTCATTTTCTAAGTTTGTATCTTTCCCTTTACTTGTGTGCCTGCACGCTCTCAGCAGCAGTTAGTGTATGAAGTCCTTGGACTACAGGTAGTTGATATACAGATGTTTATATAGTGATCAGAAGAGTGCATCTTTTTCTTGTATGTTCATTAGACACTACTCTAGCAAGAGTGTTTAAATGGTCACTGCTCACTTTTGAAGTCTCATCTCAGACTCATTATCATTGTGTTCTTCTTTTAGAAAGAAAGAACTTTCAACTACCAAGAAAGATCGAGTTAATCATTGCCTAACAATATGCGAAAACATAGTTGCTCAGTCTTTAAGGTAAGACAATATCTTTAATTTATTGCATTAATATGAATAGCTACTTTGGAATGTTAGTTATTTGGAGGCTTCCTGGTAATTACTGAGTTTTAATGCTCAACTTCTGTTTAAAACTGAAATGGCACATTTTATTTATTTATTTGTTGCCAACCCAAAATCTAAGACATAATTTTGTGTAAGCATTATCCTTCTACCTCAGACACAGAAACTGAGGCACAGAGATTAAATACCTTGGTAGATGATGTAGGAAAGAGCAGGAAAACAATCTCCCTTCTCCTAATGAAGTACTTTAATCCACTGAGTGTCTTCTCTTGTATAACTGTGTATAATATATGTGTAGTTGGATTATCAAACCCAATAGCATTGATGTTTGCTTTTCAAGGTGTGCATTGTAATTTTCTAATGTTTGCTTATTTAGAAATTCTCCAGAATTTCAGAAGCTGCTGGGGATTGCTATGGAACTCTTTCTCCTCTGTAGTGAGGATGCAGAATCTGATGTCCGGATGGTTGCTGATGAATGCCTTAATAAAGTTATTAAAGTAAGAACTTTTATGTATTGTTCTACCAGATGTTACCTCTTCTTGATGCAGTGTCCAGTATGAATTCACACTGGTGTTTTTAGTTGCTTTTCTTATGTTGATAATGTCTTATAATGTAAGAAGTTAAGTAAGGTTCTTTGGTAAATTCTGTATGTGCTCTTGGGAGAGCTTTTTATGCCCAGTTCAAGATACTTGTCTCCTGTCATTCATCATTCTAATCTATTCTTCAGTTGTTCGTTATCTTTGTTTCTTCCAGCTAAGCAAAACAAGAATATGGGTTTTTCTAAAATCTAGTTGTATGGGAGGAATAATCTATTATTGTTCTGTAAACATGAAGATACTTGACACGAAGAAAGGTAAAAATATTATTAAAAAGCTGACTGAAAGATGTAATAGCTTTTTGTTCCAAACCAGTTGTATGCTGTCATTCAGGTGGTGTGATTTGCTGAGAATTGGAGGAGGAGCTTTTAGGCAATAATTAGGATAAATATAGTGTTCCAGAGATTGTTTATTGCCCTACTGCGATTCAGAATGAAAGGAGAACAGCAGGCTGGCATTCATATGAGGTCAGGCAAGGTCTAAGTCTTGATTAAAAATATCTTAAAATGTGAGTAATTGCTATGAGCTGCTGCTTCCAGGACAGGTTTATCTTCACTTGCTCTTTCTTTTTTTCCCCCTTTTTTTCTCCTGTTTTCTGAAATACTTAACTTTTCAATCAATGTAATGTACCTGCATAAATAATCTAGTTGATGCAAAGTTTAAGTGCTTTAAAAATATGCAGATAATAATTTTCTTCAGCATGAAGGGCTGTGTAGAAGCAAACAAACAAAACATCCCTATTTCTTTAAGGGTTTATCTTTTACATTGCAGCACTTTGTTCTATTCATTCTGATTTAAATGTTTTTCCATTTTCAGGAGTTTAGCACTCTATGAAATGCATACACCATTATGTAATTTAATTTGCTTTAAAAGGTGCTCTGCAACAGTTCTAAAGAATGCAGACGTACTTCCTTCTTTATGCCAAACTCTTCTATAGGCTTGGTATAAAACTGACCTCTCTAATTCACTGATCTATTTATGTTGTTGCTTTCTGGCATGTTTCAAGGTAACTTGAAATTTTTATTTATTTTTTTTTTCCCCCAAAATCTTTGTATGGTAGTTTGTTTTGTTTTAAAGCTTAAAGTTGTTTTACATGATGGAGTTTTCTACCAGTCATTAAGCTTGCCAGCTGGTCACAGCTATGAATATCACAGTTGTGGTATGCGAGCTCCATGTATGTATCAGACTGTTATCAAAGCTGGGCATAGTTTGTATTCTGTGTTTTACACTGTGTGGAAACAACATAGTCTTTGGGCAGATGCTCTCTTGTGTATAAATACAGGGACAAAAAGATGGGCAGTTTATTTTTGGTCATGCAAGTAGCAGTGATGCTTGTGATGAGTGGAACAGAGGGGTTGGGCCCCTAAGGTTGCATATTAGTCAACAGTCATCTTTTTTAATACCTCAGGAATTTTAGAGACTAGTTCTTTTGCTAAAAGATGCCTTATATTTTCTTTCTTTAAATAGAATAATATAGAAGTAAGCATTGCTTCTGTGACTGTGTGTCTGTCTGGACTTTGTGCTGATAGTGTAATTAAATGCTAACACTTCTGTGCAGACAGGGCTGTAAACTGGAACAGCAAATAAGTTTAGATAAACACTGTAGGTTATCTGTAAGCATCATTGCACTTACCTGTCAGAACCTCACAGACAGCATAAGTGGCTCCAAGTTTTAGTAGCTTTGGTGATACTTATATGTAAAAGAAAAAATACCAAGTTGGGAGTTACCAGGTTTCCTTGGGTAAAACTGAGGCTGTCTTGTTTCTGAAGCCAGTGAATGATGTTGTAGTAATCTCTCTACTAATGATACTGGTGGGACTTTTCACACAGATTGGAGCACAGTTGGTCTCAGTAATTGGGATTTATTATTTGTGGTAATTTAGAGTTGACTATGCTTACAGTTTTTTTTCTGATTGGGATGACTTTTTAGATTCTAGCCTGCTAAAAATACAGGTATACACTAGTAAAAAGAGTTGTTCCAGTTGAGCGCGTTGTAAGGACAACTTACCCTTGAACCCCAATAGTAGCTGGTGCCTTTTTATGTTACTTGATAGTCTTATATACAGGGCAGTGAACATTCCATAAAAACTGTTTTATGAAGTGAGATTTATCCCTAACTACTTTCATCTGGGCACCTGCAGTTAATTGTTGGGGTGTTTATGACAATGTAATGATACAAGCCAGGTAAGAGTTTTGTGGGGAAGGTAGTGCCGTTTTATTATGACTGGTATAATTGAGGGGAATGAAGTTTTGGGGCATACAACTTCAGACTGTGGGAGTCATGCTCTGGAGGAGCCACAGGCACTTCACTGACAATGCTTAAGCAGTTGTGGCCTCTACATCAGCATTTACCATGTAAGATTTTGTAGTTATAATGAGTAATCCCATGAAGATGTGAGCTTAATGGTTGGTGGTCAAGAAAGCAGGTAGAAAATTAGAAATTATTAAATTATTGGGCAAGGAATAAAGAAGGAAATACTAAACATTACAACACTGTATAAATCCACAATGTAGACACTTGAACATTTTATGAAGCTCTCATTTCATCTGAGGAAGTGGTGGTGGAAATGTTCATAAATAGTAGTATGCACAAGGAAAAAAATGGAAAAGAAAGGGTTAATCATATGTGTACAAAATATTCTGTAGGAAGAGATTCTTTGTAGCAGAACTATTTTCATATTTTTTTCTTCTCTGCAATTTTAAAGATGGAGGAAGAATGATCAAGTTGAGGTGAACAGAAAATTACTGCTTCTTGGTGCTTCCTTGCATTTCACATACCCTTGTTCTTAGCCAAACTGCATATTCAAACTACAATGTACTCTCTGTCGCAGTATGCTTGATGAGATCCTGGGATGTGATACTTCTGGTGTCCAGAACACCTTGTGGTAATAAAGGGATGCAGAAAATAGGCTGATTAATGAAAGAAGAGTTTTTCAAGGGCTGTTAAAGGTAATGGTACAAATACAGCCTCAGCTGAGAAATAGTAGGAGACTACTTGACGGTGGGGATGTATAGCAGGGCATACCTCTCACTGCTTGTGAATGCTATTTGTGTGGTTTAATATTCTGTTCATGAGGATCTATTGCTGGTGATTGCCAGAAAGCCCATTAGGTTGGCTCTGCGTGTACTGTGATCCCATATGGCCTTTTGAGGTAGAATGAGTAGAACTGTCAATATTAACTGTGAGTAACTGTTAGTTTGTGGAATTTTTCTGTGTTTTTGTTTTGTGTTTGTGTGAAAGGTAAAGGTATCTCTTCAGTATTTATCACTTTCCTGGCTATACATCAAATATAGGGGCAGTTAGATAGTTTTGTGGCTTTTTTTGAAGCTATTTTATTGCAAGTGTAACATGATTCCTGTAAAGTGCCTTCCCTCTGACACAGTACATTCTCAATGCATTTTATTGCAGGCTTTGATGGATTCCAATCTTCCTAGGTTACAATTAGAACTGTATAAAGAGATTAAAAAGGTGAGTTTCTTACTTTCAAGTCCTTTTGAAATATGGTATTTAGAAAATGTTTTAACATATTGCAGTGTGGCATTAGTGTGAATAAATAGTGTATGTCTTTTAAGGTAAAGGTCAGAGCTTCACTTTGGAAGGATCTGTGACTGTTTAATGTATTATTCTACCCAGTTTCTCTCTGTTGGCCTCATTGTTTAGATTTAACCAGTCCTGAAAGCTTATCTGGCAGAAAATGTGTGAGCATTTGGTGTGAACAGCAGTCTGAGTTAACCTTAGTGACTGTGCACCCAAATGAATATGCTATATTCATGGTTTGCTTCACTGACTGAACTGGAAAGAATAACTTCAAGCAAAAGGGTGTTGAAAAGTCGTGGGGGACAGTGACATTCTTAATTTAACATTATTTATTGGAAGAATCATTTGATCAAGACCGGAACTGACCCAATACAAGTTTTAATTACTTTGTTTTGTGAATGTGTGATGTGTCCTTACAGCTTCTGTAAGAATCATAGGTAAAAATACTGAAGCATCTCTTTACACCAAAAATCACAATTTAATTATATCCACGGGAAGAATTTTAGTAATAGCCTTTTTTAAGTATATGACTACAAAATAAAAATGCTGCATTCGGGATAGTATCACTGAAATAATGTCTCTTGCATCTATAAGCATATAGTGAGGTTTGTATAGAGAGAAAAGATAGGTGTTATTTGTCAGACAATAATGCTATTGCTTTTTGTTACATTTCTTTGGGAATGCTAGAACCCTACAAAAGAAAATAAATAACAAAAGCAATGTGGATAGCTTTTCTTCTGTCAGATGTAGACTACTTGTAGGTCCTGTATGAATATCTTACTGTATTTTACCTTCATTTCATGCAAAATTTTTGAGAGTGTAGAAATAGATGTCTAGCTAGAAAACAGCCAACATAACTGAAAATCACTCTGAAGGTTCTGCATGTTATGACCAGGTGCAGAAGCAAGTATTTTGTTGTTCAGATGGCCTGTGCTTCTTGCACAGTCGCTCTCAGATTCATGGCAGAGCCAAGAGAGAGGCATAGCAGGCATAACAGAAGCACCCAGGAGACTGAATTTTGGTTGTACATCAGTTGGATCCCTTTAGGAGTCATGCCAGCATCTGTTGTTTGACTTTCAACCTAAAAAATGCACGTTTTGTAATTCAGATGCAAGATTTTATTACTTGTCATGCTAACAAGACTGTGAGCCTTTGATGTACTAGCTAAAGAAAATAAGAAAGATATGACAGTTCCTAAACACCACAGCTCTGTCTTCAGAGGGACTTGTTATGAGAAGCATTTTGGTTTGAACTACGCTAGGTACACAGTTTCTTCTAGACACCTATTGACTTCCATAATTTTCTGTATTTCCCACTAAGGAGCTTTTCTATATCCTTAGACACTGGGTCTAAAGGCATTCTGGCTCAAGTCAGGTGCACAACTAAAGGTGTCAGCACAGACAAATAGATACTAAACTTTAGCATGCAAGCCATTATGAAGTGATACAGATCCATACATGGATTTTTTTCTTTTCCTGGTGTGCTCAGGAGCTGAACATTATTTGTTTGCATATCTCCACTGCTGTCAGTTTTATGCTGCATTTGTATCTCTGCAAGTGTTCCAGTGATTTTTTAGACCCTCATATCATCAGTGTTTCTTTGTTGCTTGATGACTTTCTCTGTGGTATTTTAAGCTGATTTCAGCAGAGTGGAGATCTCAGAGATTTCCTTCTTTTCTTGGTGTTCCTTATTATTCATTTTGGGTCACTTGGAAAATTCCTAATGCCAGCTAGAAAAATGAAGGCAGTTGTGGAGCTGACTTGACTTCCCTTTGGCTAAAGGAAATTTACAGCTTCCAGGCACCTTACATTTTTATCTGTTTAAGTGAAATGATATAAAACTGTGTACTATTGTGTATTATAGGTATTTTTTAGGAAATGGTTTTGCTTGATGAAATGTTACAATTATATACTCTTATCTAGAATGGTGCTTCCAGAAGTCTACGTGCTGCACTCTGGAGATTTGCTGAGCTTGCCCATCTAGTTCGACCTCAAAAATGCAGGTAAATGCATCCTAGTAATGAACTCCCCAAAGAGCATTTAACAAAATATAGATGTTAATAAAATGTTACTGTTATCAAGTTTTAAATATATAACTGGGAGATTGGAGGAATTCCTATCACATTTTTCTCTCTGAAGTAGCTTTGTTTGATTAGCTGTTTTTCTTTCAGTGTGTTTTAGTTCTGTGCTGTACATGACTCCAGGTGAAGAGGGGGGAAAAAATTGTGAAGAAAATGACTTGTATTTTTTTTATAAGTGTATTCTTCTTTTTAGTTCTATCTTACTGTCTGCAAATTGTATTCAGAAGACTGTTGTCTTTTCAACATTCTGTGTAGCTAACAGATAACTTTATGATTTAGTAATGCCACAGGATTTGAATATGAATTTAAAATGTTTAGATGAGTACAGTTCTGATCTCAAATTAGTTTTTCTCCTTTGCCATACTTAGGCCGTACTTAGTGAACCTTTTGCCCTGTCTAACACGAATAAGCAAGAGACCTGAAGAATCGGTACAAGAGACACTAGCTGCAGCAATACCAAAAATCATGGCAGCGTTTGGCAATTTTGCAAACGACAATGAAATTAAGGTATCTCTCTTTGACCTATTAGTGCTCCCTGTTATATCTCCAAACACAGTAAGCCATCAGCATTATCAATCAGATAGAGTTACAGAAAGAAGAGTTACAGCTGCATGTCTGAATTAAGGCAAGAGTTGCTCTTGCTTGATATACATTAAGCAATGCTTTGAATGAATGAAAAATACATTTGCTGACTTTTTGATTCACTTCTGTCTCCTTTCTCATAAAAAATTGAGATATCTTTGTTTTTAGGTTTTATTGAAGGCTTTCATAGGTAATCTTAAATCCAGTTCCCCTACTATCCGTCGAACAGCGGCAGGATCAGCAGTAAGCATCTGTCAACATTCGCGAAGGATGCAGTATTTTTATGCCTGGTTATTGAATGTACTTTTAGGTAAGATTCAGGGGAAAAAAAAATCTTTTAGTTTTAAGTAACGTGACACTTTTTTCCATGTAAGATACTTTTTGTATGTGAGAGGTTTTCAGGCAAAGCAAGGGTACTTACAGGACCAGTTACACTGAAAATGCTTTCTCTATTTTGTATTAAGTTAGATGAAGATATAACTAAAGCTGTTTGTATCTCTTCGTGTGCTGTAATGCTAATTCAGTAATGTTGAAAAGAGACAGCCAAAGCTAGGGAAGCAAGTAACCTATTGGAAAATGAGGAGGTCTAAGTATCCTGGAAGAACTTGCTCAGGAGTCTGTGAGTAGTTGCATTGTTCAGCAGCTTGGTTGTTCGTGCAGCAGGTCTGAGGTGGAGGCTATGACTGCTGTTCTCTGGGTCATGAACACATATCCTGTAACCTTTTTAGGAAGTACCACCATGTAGATTCTTTGTTGAAAACCTAAATTAAATTAAAAAATTCCATTTCTGGTCTAAAAGCACACAACTTTGCGTCAGGGATTGCTTCCATATTATTTATTCAGCTGTGAAGTTTGCATGGTCTTTGGGATCTTTTGCAACTTGTGATGAGATGCTTGTCTGGATTATAGTGGAAACTTTTGCCTCAGTTGTGGTGCTGTTGAGGGGTTCTTTACTACACAGACTATATTGCAAAAGGCGAGATAAGGAAGACCAACAGACTCATAAAGCATTATCCTGTTAGACTTGCTTCTTTTAAGAATGAGTGAAAAATTAAAGTTCTATGTAGTGTCTTTCCTTGCTGTGTGTGTCTTGAAAATGGTGTATATCTGTGCACACATTGTTCTTTCCTGTCTCAAAGGTAAATGTTTTATAATGTCCTGACAATGATACTGAATTCAGAGAGGAACACTAATATAAACCCCATGAATTGATTCTGATCCCCCCTGCCCCTGCATAGAACATTGTGTTTTCTTACATGACTCATATTTGTTCTCAATGTGCTTTGGGTTTGACTCTGATTAGGAAGTAGGTATGTGGAGCAAGGTTCTCAGTACTTGAGGGAGGAGGCAAAAGTGTAAATGTCATTAGGATGGTAGCACCTGTGTGTGAGGGAATTATGTTTGGCCTTAATTAAACTGCCAAGTGGAGAGAGGAGGCAGATGATGGGAGCAAGAGAGTCTAGACCACTTGGTGAAAGCATCAGGTATTATGAAAAAGAATTTTTTTTTTTTGTCTTTTTATTGAATGCAAAGAGTTAGGGAACAGGGAAGGTGAGACAGAGTCCTCTGACCATTCTCCTACGTTGCTTAAATCATTGTCAGGAATATTAAATATGCATATTTTAAAATGCTTCTGCATTTAGAAAGCATTCTGAAGTTGCTGCTAGGTGGTGGGGTTTTTTGTTTGTTTTTTTAGAAGAAGCTATTGTATGGACTACATTAACATTTGTTTTGAAACTAACCACTGTCAGTAATTGATTTGACTGCTTCTTTTCTACCCCCAGGCTTGTTGGTTCCTGTAGAAGATGATCATCCTACTCTTTTAATTCTGGGTGTTTTACTTACACTGAGGTATCTCATACCTTTATTGCAACAACAAGTAAAGGATACCAGCCTGAAAGGCAGTTTTGGTGTAACAAGAAAAGAAACAGAGATTTCACCTTCACCAGAACAACTTATACAGGTGAAATATGAATAATAACTCTAACCTGAAGGGTACTGATTGGAAGGGAAAGAATTAAATCTTGCATATAGTATGATACAGCACTAATTTGATGTTGAATGTTCTGAATTATTTTCTCAAATTCATCTTGGTAAATGATAGTTGGTTCAGTGACTGGAATTATTGATAAATAATGTTAATGACCATAGATCCCAGAAAAATGCATCAGTGCTACTTGTTAGATGTTCCAAAAGGAGCTAAAGAACTTCATAATCATTACGGTGTTCTTTGAAGTGATTCCTCCTTTTATAACAATAAACAGAAACAACAGACTTCTACCAAAAAGGCAGTTGAATGGCTACAATTAATTGACTTTTTCCCCTTGGAAGTGTGTTGTGAACATTAGATATAGCAAATGTCAATCATCTTTAATGCATTACTGCATCTTAATATGGTATATGACAAGAAATGTAGTATGTTGTGTCCTTGCAGATTTACTCCAGTAGTTTGTTGGGTTTCAGGTTTATGAATTGACTCTGCATTATACCCAGCATCAGGACCATAATGTTGTGACTGGAGCTTTAGAATTATTACAACAGCTGTTTAGAACACCACCACCTGAACTTCTCCATGCCCTGACCGCTTCAGGTGGCATTGCACAGGTCAGTGTATCCAAAGATGAGTCTGCCAGCAGGAACCGCAGCGGGAGCATAGTGGAACTTATAGGTAAGCTATATTTTTGTTAATTTGAGTAAAAAGAGATGAACATACATCACCAGCTCTATTTCTCAGTATTAGCCAAAAGTATGAAGGGTAAAATGAAATGTATAAAGTTATGCAGACAAACTCCAGAGTATTTTTTACAGTTTCTGTTGATGGGTTTTTTTGGTTACACAGAACAAGTTAACTGTGGTGATAAATTTTTTCCTTTTTCCACATGACAAAATTAATTTTGTTCTCACCAAGCATCTGACAACTGTGATTCATAAAAATCTGATCTAATCAGAATTTATATCAACTGAGACCTCCTTACTGAATACTAAAACCAGCATGAAATTAAAGCTTGACTTAAGTTTATCCGTAACTGTTAAAATCAGCTATTGGTGTTCTTGTCAGTGAAGTGCATGTTCTTAAAATTGTCTCTTAACTGCTACTTACCTGTTTTAAAAGAATCAATCTCTTACTGGACTTCTGTACTGAACTAACGGATCATTCTAATATTGCTGCTATTAGAAGGGGATTCATTAGCCAGAAGCAACCATAGCAGTGAAATTTACAGCATATTTTTTTAAAAGCAAACTTTGAACAATTGACACAGAAAAAACAAAAAGTCGTTTGATAGTGAATGATCCAAAAAACTTGTACTTTAAATGCTACAAGTTTGCTATTTCTTCCTGGCTTTGGGTTTTGGGTTTATTCCTTCCCATTTGTGGCTATTAGAATTCCTTCATGATTTCAGCAGCTTTGTCTTTACCCTGATGTGTTACTTTCTGTGATTTGCAGCTGGAGGGGGGTCTTCATGCAGCCCTGTTCTTGCGAGAAAGCAAAAAGGTGATTATTTTCAAAACCAAATCTTTAATTGCATTCCTTTCTGATTTTTTTTTCCATTGGTGTTGCTCCCCCACTTCATTGTCTTGCTGAAATTCAGTCTTCATTCAGAGTTGCCTTTGTGTTATCAGCTGAGCTTAATCACTGTAAATCTTAAAATAATTCTGACATGATTTCTGATATTGCAATCAAGATATAAAGTTATTCAAAGCTGTATAATTCTTATTTTTGCTGTAGTTCACTGCCAAAATTATGGTGATGAATATTGATGCAGTTTTCACTTTTAAAGAGCATATCTAAATATAATGTCTCTGAACAGGGCTTTCTTCCTTTTGATGGTAATACTTAATCTTTAACTCACAAAACAATTAATCTTCCTGGGTTTGTTTGGCCTGGTTTGTTGTTTTTTTTCTTCTTTCACTAATGCACATGTATGTTTGCATGCTTTGATATGATGCTTTTTAATTTCTTTTTCTGTTCTTGATGATTAATTCTAATAATTTTGTGTCTTACTGTGTGTATTTTCATATTGTTCTTCAGTAGGTAATTCATTTAGCAGGATTTTAAATGACACAATTTGCTCTCAAGTATTCTTTTCCCAGTTGCATGTGGAAGTACTTCATATGTAGTTACACACTTACACTTTGCTTAAAACCAAGTGTGTAGAATCACGTAGATGCAGCTGTGTAACAGTTTCATCACCTGTTTTGTGTGAACAAAATGTTGCTCCTGCAGTGGAACTATGTCTGAGTGTAGTGCCGTCAGTGCAAGCATAGTAAGCAGAGAGATGTGCAATTTGGAAAAGAAAAGCTTCAAGGAAAAATAGTTTAAGACTAAATAAAATTGTACAAACTTTAAAGAACACTATAGCAACTAACTCACACTTTTTCCAAATATATCCTCCTATCTTTGTGTGCAAGGAATCTTGTAATGCATATAGAATATACCTAAATGCATTTAAGAATATACCTAAATGTGAAATAGTGATTAGAGCTGAATGAAACGGTGCTTCTGGATGCAGTGATAATTTCTAGTTCAGAAAAAAGAGTGAAAGGATGTTCTAAAAGTAGATATTGCTGCCGTTTCCAAAGGTGAGACAGAATGCAACAAATCAGAATAACAGTGCATAACACTATTAAATGAATTTAAATTTGAATTGTTAGTAGTCTTAAGTGTACATTTGAAATATTAATAATAGTGTAATATCAATTTAAAAACTTGTTTAAACACTAACCTTTCCTTCACGCAGTGGGAAAACATGTATGAGTCATCAGCTTTTATCCTTTTTTGAGATAATGATATGAAGATTTGGCAGTCTAAAACAATGGCATAAATTAATGTCAAGAAATTTGTTCATGATTAGTGCTCTGTACAGGTTTAATTTCAATTTGTGAATTGTTCATTTCCTGCTGCCCTCCACTGTAGAAAGGATGGGAAAATGAAACCTATTCCCAATTCCTACTTAAAGTTGTTCTGCAATCTACTACCATAGAGTAATAGGCTTCTGCTGTTGGCCATTAGGCTCTGCAGAGGGACCTGGACAGGCTGGATCAATGGGCTGCAACCAACTGTATGAGGTTCAACAAGGTCAAGTGCTGGGTCCTGCACTTGGGTCACAACAACCCCATGCAACACTACAGGCTTGGGGAGGAGTGGCTGGAGAGCTGCCCAGCAGAAAAGGGCCTGGGGATGTTGGTCGATAGGCAGCTGAACATGAGCCAGCAGTGTGCTCAGGTGGCCCAGAAGGCCAACAGCATCCTGGCCTGTGTCAGAAACAGTGTGGCCAGCAGGACCAGGGAAGTGATCGTCCCTCTGTACTCAGCTTTGGTGAGGCCACACCTTGAATACTGTGTCCAATTTTGGGCCCCTCACTACAAGAAGGACATTGAGTCACTGGAGTTTGTCCAGAGAAGGGCAGCAAGGCTGGTGAAGGGTCTGGAGAAGAAGTCTTGTGAGGAGTGGCAGAGGGAACTGGGGTTGTTTAGTCTGGAGAAAAGGAGGCTGAGGGGAGACCTGATTGCTGTCTGCGACTACCTGAAAGGAGGGTGTAGAGGTGGGTGTTTGTCTTTTCTCCCAGGTAACTAACTGGTGATAGAACAAGAGGCAATGTCCTTAAGTTGTGCCAGGGGAGGTACAGATTGGATGTCAGGAAATACTTCGTCACTGAAAGGGTTCTCAGGCACTGGAACGGGCTGGCTGGGGAGATGGTTGAGTCCCCATCCCTGGAGATATTGAAAAGACAGGTAGATGGGATGCTCAAAAATATGATTTAGTAGTTGGACAGGTACAGTTGGACTCCATGATCTCAGAGGTCTTTTCCTACCAGGCGATTCTATGATCCTATGAAACTTCTCTAGCTGTAATACTCCTTTGTGTGTAGGGGTGTAAAATGAGGCTGATCTACAGAAATCTGTGACCCTAACATAAGAACTCCAGTATTCTATGTCTTTTCAGTCTTACTGCTTCAAACCAACTTTGGTTTTGAACAGCTGGCCTATGTTGGTTTGTTTATGTTTCAACTTCATAAAATTATTTGCAAAAAAGACTGAAAACTCATTTTGAAATTAAAGAATGCTTCTTAACTGATTTTTTTAATGAATAATGGAAAAGTATCCTACAGCTTGTTTTATATACTCATTTAAACATACAAAAAGGCTGGTGAAGGGTCTGGAGAAGAAGTCTTGTGAGGAGTGGCAGAGGGAACTGGGGTTGTTTAGTCTGGAGAAAAGGAGGCTGAGGGGAGACCTGATTGCTGTCTGCGACTACCTGAAAGGAGGGTGTAGAGGTGGGTGTTTGTCTTTTCTCCCAGGTAACTAACTGGTGATAGAACAAGAGGCAATGTCCTTAAGTTGTGCCAGGGGAGGTACAGATTGGATGTCAGGAAATACTTTGTCACTGAAAGGGTTCTCAGGCACTGGAACGGGCTGCCTGGGGAGGTGGTTGAGTCCCCATCCCTGGAGATATTGAAAAGACAGGTAGATGGGCCTAACATACCTAATAAGTGTTTTCCAGTGTCCTCCTTCTTTCACTTACTTTTAAAGATTATTAGCTGTGGGAAGCAGAAGAATATCCTGGTTGGTTTCAGTGGAAAGGATGTAAATGTGAGAAAGAATAAAGAAAAATGTACTATCTTCCATGGTTTTGGTTGGGAACTCTCAGCAGGATTTTACTCATTCTTTCGTAGGAGTGTGTAGTTCTCAATTAATTACTGTTAGAACATACACAGAAATGTCATGGTTACTTTTCTATCTTACTTGCAAGTTTGAATAGCATAAAACTTATTTTTCAGAGGAAGACAATTCTACAGTATTACTGCTATGTATGAAAGCAGTTGTGATAGGGAAATTAATACAAAGGTCTGTTAATGCTTTTTTACCCCCTGGTAACTTAAATGAGGTGCAAAAGAATTCCCACAGAGTGATCAAAACATTAGTATCTTGCATGGTGAATCTTAGACTACCAGTGAAACCTATTCTAAATGGTAAAGCAGGCTTATATCAAAGCGTTATCATGAAACTCTCTGTCTCGCAAGTAATTTGTGAGATCTGGAAGGACGGGCTCAGTAGCTCCCTCTGCACTCTGTATCCTGTCCCATTTACAGTGCACTTGTGTCCTTGGTTGACTCCTAGGCAGTGTGCATCTGCAAGTATCTTTCTCTTTCCATTGCTTCTATTTTAAATAGATATTACTTTGTGTTAGGTTATAAATGGTTCTCATTTTTCCTATGGCAAAAGCCTCTGAAGATTTTTGCCTTAGTAGTCCCTGGATCTTAATGGCTGTTGTCCATGGTTCATCACCCTGTCCCACTTATGTTGTCTTGTGCTTCTGGTCTGTGCTGCTCTTCCCCCTAGGCATTTTCCATTCTGTTATCACTGGAGTTCCAAGCCCCACACTGCAAGTAGCCTTTGATAATTTTCATAGCCTTAAGAAGGAGATGTTATTATTCCATTACTTGTCATGCTTTAATGTCCTTCTGAGTTGAGGGTAGACATCCAGATGCCAGGTATCCAGTCCTTAATAGCAGGACATAGTTGATGAAATTAGTGGGATCTTAAACATAGTTCAGAAAAATAAACTAGAATGAATTAGGTCATAGGTAGTTTCCTGAATGGTTACACTCTTAAATAAAATAACTTAACTGTGTGTTTCCTTGTCACTGCTGTCTGTTTCTCTCCTGATCAGATAGTGAGGCACTGGGTATTCCCTTTCTTCATTCTTTTCTCTTTTCCATCTGTTGCCTGTCGTAACTTTGACAGTTTATTTGGATAAACTTTTTAAACATAGATTTCACATCTAACTGACTTCAACTGTTCAGCATTTCAAGTTGACTGTAATTTTAGGAAACTTAAAAGGTTTTTCTTTTATCACTTCTCAGGTAAAATACTTCTTGGTGAAGAAGAAGGTTTGGAAGATGATCCTGAAACCCGGTCAGATGTCAGCACTGCATCATTTGCAGGTATCTGGCTTTCCCTTTAGGACAGCAATCAACCTGTGTTACTAAACATTACAAATCCATTCTTTTATTACTCTATGTAAAATATAAAATTGATGTGTTACAGTGACTAGGAAGTGGATGGGCACTCAAAAGACAAGCTAACAAGACTGAAACCATAAATACTTCTGAGTATAAAATTTACACTTACCTGCTGCTGTGTAGGGATGGGGTCAGGAAGGCCAGGGTACAGCTGGAGCTGAACTTGGCAAGGGATGCAAAGAATAATAAGGACGACTTCTACAGATATGTCATCCTGAAAGGAAGGTCAGAGAAAGTGTACCAGCCCTGATGAGCAAGACTGGCAAACTGGTAGTAACAGGTGAGGAGAAGGCTGAGGTACTCAGCGACTTTTTTGCTTCAGTCTTCTCTGGCAACCTCTCTTCCCACACCTTTCGAGAGGATGGACTGCAGGGCAGGGACTGAGGGAGCAAAATCCTCCCCCATTATAAGAGAAGATCAAGTTTGTGACCTGAGAACTTGAATATACGTAAGTTTGAGACCTGCTGAGATGCATCTGAGTCCTGAGGGAATTGGCTGATGTGGTTGCCACGCCGTTCTCCATGATATTTGAAAAGTCATAGTAGTCAAATGAAGTTCCCAGTGACTGGAAAAAGGGAAAAGTGGCACCCATTTTCAAAAGGATAGAAAGGAAGACCCAGGGAACTACTGTCCTGTCAGCCTCACCTCTGTGCCTGGGAAGACCGTGGAACAGATCCTCCTAGAAAATATGCTAAGGCACATGGAGGACAGGGAGGTGACTTGAGACAGCCAGCATGGCATCACCAAGGGCAAGTCCTGCGTGACCAACCTCCTGGCCGCCTGTGATGGAGTGACTACATCAATGGACAAGGGAAAAGCTATGGATGTCACCAGTCTGGACTTCTGTAAGGCCTTTGACATGGTCCCCCACAACATCCTTCTCTCTAAACTGGAGAGATATGGTTTTGATGGGTGGACTATTCGGTGGATGAGGAATTGGTTGGATGGTCACATCCAGAGAGTAGTGGTCAATGGCTTAATGTCCAGATGGAGACTGATGACGAGCGGTGTTCCTCAGGTCTCTCTACCGGGACCGACACTGTTTAATGTCTTCAGTAATGACATAGTGGTATCGAGTGCACCCTCAGGAAGTTTGCTGAAGATACCAAGCTGTGTGATGTGGTTGACATGCCTGAGGGATAGGATACCATCCAGAGGAACCTGGACTAACTCGAGAAGTGGGCCCATGTGAACCTCATGAAGTTCAACAAGGCCAAGAGCAAGGTCCTGCACCTGGGTTGGGGCAATCCCTGGTATCAGTACAGGCTGGGGGATGAAGGCATTGAGAGCAACCCTATGGAGAAGGACTTGAGGGCATTAGTGGATGAAAAGCTGGACATGAACTGGCAATGTGCACTTGCAGCCCAGAAGGCCAACTGTATCCTGGGCTGCGTTAAAAGAAGGGCCAGCAGGTCAAAGGAAGTGATTCTCTCCCTCTATCTTGCCCGGGTAAGACCTCACCTGGAGTACTGTGTCCGGTTCTGGAGTCCTCAGCACAGGAAGGACATGAACCTATTGGAGCAGATCCAGAGGAGGGTTGCAAAAAAGG